AAAATAACATTATTTTCCAAAAATAATTCTACTTGCTAATTATACAATATGCTTGGCATAAAAAATCTACTGTGCACATAATTATCTTGAGAGAGGCTTAACTGCTGAAGCATGTAAGACTTGAGTTATATATGTGAGTTCTATTGTCAAGGCAACCCACAGTGTAGCTCCCAAACAAGTGTTGTAATGATTCTCCCAGATCAGCCTTCCAGTTGTGTTCTATGTGACAGAAAAGAAATAACCTTCCATGATTAAAAATATTCCATTCTGTAAGTTTCATATATAATATATATGTTATATGTGTATATATAAACACACATATATACATGATACATATATACATGTATTCATATATGTGTATATATATATACTTTCATTGAAGTTATCCTGTACAGAGAGTAATGTTGATCCCAGAAGTAATAGATTGCTAAATAAAAAGGTGCCAGTTGTGGGATATCTTCCTTTGAGTTGTTAGAGGAGCGCCAGAGACCACCAAAACAGTGCAGGCTATTTCAACTGATCTTGGTCACCCTCCAGAACTTGACCCTATTGCTGAAGATACTACCCCCTTCAGTCACAGGACATAAAGAAATTAAATTGATACTAAAAAGGAAGTTTCCTCCATACTAGACAGCTTTCAAAATACTAGATGGTGCTGTACAGGTTGCTAGAGAAGCAGATCATCAACAGTCTAACTCAGCTATGACCTCTGTGAGCTATAATAACATAAGTACTGGAATGGCAAGATATCCTCAAGGGAGCAATACTGACATGTTATAAGGGTAGCCAAAGACTCTCTGATTGAATATAAGGTCTACTCCATGCGAGGAAACAGATGCATGATGCTCTAAACTTAACCAAGAACTCATGGCTTGGGAGATCATGGCCCTGTGGGAAAAATTACTACTATTATTCTGCTAAATATACATAGTGCCAAATTCTCCTCTATATATGTGTCCTAAGGCCACAAATTAGTGCCACTCCCAGACCTCATTATGGAAGTTCTGTTGTGCAGTGAACAGAAGTTTACACAAAAACTTACAACTGATCAAAAAGAATAAATGTTTGCGAAGTGCTCAGCCCAAATGTGACAACTGTAATATCACCCTCTCCCTGAGGATCAGGGATCATTGTAGAAGTGGAAATATTGGAAAAGCCAGAGGTCAGGAGGACCACAGCAAACAGAGTCTTCTGGACATGACAAAACTGTTGCACTCGTGAACTCACAGATTCTGTGGTTTCCTGCACAAGACCTGCACACACTCAAGGCAGTCAATGATGTAGCACAGGGGAAAGCAGCTTCTGAACCTCATCCCAACCAGAAGAAACGCATTTCTAAACGTTATGTTCTTTAAATAAACTCACTCAGTTCAGAAGTCAATCCCTTGACTTCAATGACATGATGAGTTATGCTGTATAGTTGAGTTCAAAGAACTAAATTATCAGATTTCTTAAAAACTACAACACTGAAAAAGGCAATACAATATCATTTTAAATGTTGTTGGAAGTGAACAGGACTGTATATAAAAATTTTGTTGTACTGAGGATATTGCTTAATGGTAGACTATCTAACATTCATGAGGTCTTCAGTTAAGTCCACTAAACAGAAAGTAACAAAGGAGAGAAGGGAAAGCAAAAATAGAAAAGAAAAGAAGGCAGGAAAGAGGGAAATAAGTATTTTTTAAATTATTTAAAAGCAATTGTCTAATTAAAAACATGCAAGAAGAAAAATTAATTAAAATATATAAAATTATAATTTCCCTGCTCCATTTTAATCTTGTTCAAATGAGGCAGTCATTTGTTGCTTGTATATGACTTGGTTGGCTCCATCTCTGAAAGTGACAATTGCTAGTTCATTCTTTGCATTCTATGACAAACTTCTTTTTATCTCAAAGCTATCAAATCCCTTGCAGATGAAATCAGGAAGGGGCCAGTGAGTGCTATAAAGAGTACACTCTGGATGTTTTGTGTTGTCCATGGGAGACTCTTTGGACTAAAAGGAGGAAGATTGGTGATATCGTACAAATAAATCCTAGATGTCATTGGTGTCAAATTTTTAAAAATGTAGAATTGTAAATGATCTGAAAATGAAAAATCATTGTCATTTAATTCATGGCTTTTGAGTAGCCCCAATATCTATGGTCTTGAACAATTTACCTTGGTCAAATGAGTACATTACAATCATCTACTCCTCCTTAGAGAAGCATTATTTTAATTCATGTATCATACATAACATTTACATCCTATTGTACCAAGATAAATTTCCTACATAATTTTATAGGTAAAATAAAATCCACAAGATCTGTCTCATATGAACTGCATGGATTTAATATGCCTCAATATCCCCATACACCTTTGTGAAACAGGTTTGTGATAAAACTGGAGGTTCAACTAATAAATTTTCAGCTTTAATGTACAACAGATTATAACCTCTATAAAATAGTTCAGTAGTAGAAAAGAAAGCTGTAAAGTCAAAGGTTCTAAAAGAAATGTGACTTGGAGCCATATCTCACAGAGTCCCAGGAAGTATTAACTATTAGTTTTCTACATACAAAGTTAACATGTAACATGCAGCCCCTCACTCTCCAGGGGAGTGTGTCTCAGTTAGAGAACACAGCAGGTGCGTGTCCTCTTTGCCTCATTGCTAGGGAAAACGTCTCCCAGATCTCTGAAGGCAGATGCTTGTGATCAGATTTCAGAGATGACCACCTGAAAATATCAGCGGGTCTTTGTCCCTGAACACTGCCCCCATGACTCACCATGATGGCCCTAGACAGTGAGAAAAGGGGCAACTGTGGAAGAGATGCTTCCCATGTACTTCTAATGCTTTAAGTTTATTATAACTTTTGTTAAGCTACAAAAGGTAAAAAGTTGGGAAAGGAGCTAGAGATCAACTCTCAGATGTTTCTCCAGCAGACAACCATGCAGATCAACATTTGTCCATATAGAGCACAGACTTTAGACCACATGTGAATGGTTTGGAGTTATTAACAGAGACACAAGCTACAAGAAATGTTACACACTTAATGTTGATCTTATGCTGCTAAACATTTCTCATTTAAATCTTACTTTTTTTAAGGTGGCTGGAGAGACAGCCGTGGGTGCTGGGAACCGAACTCTTATATTTTTGGTTGTGAGCCTAGCCTTTAACGGATGAGCCATCTCTCCAGCCCAGCACTCGGGAGGCAGACCCAGGCAGATCTCTGTGAGTTCGAGGCCAGCCTGGTCTCCAAAGCGAGTTCCAGGAAAGGCACAAAGCTACACAGAGAAACCCTGCCTGTCTCAAAAAAACAAAAAAAAAAATCTTACTTTTTAGACATCATACAAAGGCTTCATTTTCTGGATCATGCTAAGAGAATAAGAATGCAGATTCATAAACCTGCACACCAAAATATCACATGGCTGACAAACAATTAACATTTGACAAATGATAGCAACAGTATTTGAAACACTATCATTAACCATGTAAAAAAATAGGTTTAATGCAGTAACTACTAAATATCCTAAATAAATCACCATAAAATAACATATGACATCTATAATTTCCCACACTTGGTAAACAATTTCACTTTGATTCTGATGTAAATCCTCCATGTGATTTCATTTTATACTTGGTGATGCTTAAAAGCAAAGCAATACTACCTAGAACCATAACTTTTTTTTAGTCATTAGGAGTGATTTCCAATCTCCCTGCTACTCAGAACAGAGTAGGGGCAGGAGCAGTGATTGACGGAATGGATGAGGAGTTTTAGCTGGTGGTAGAGTCTGCATTGCTACAGCAGACACTCAGTATTATATCTGGGTATGCATATAACATGATAATGGAGGCTGACATTAATCAAATCTTGACCTGATCAATGACTAAGGCAGCCAGTTGTGCACATAATCTCATTTTACCTTGACTTTGATTTATGCAAACAGAGGAAGAAACACTTAAACATAACAGATTTTAAATTTCCAAAGTAGGAGGAATCTAGTGAAGTCTGAATCAAACCTCCAAGTCTTCTTGACAGTGGACATCTCTGAGATCATATTCAAACCCTCGTGGTGAAAAGGATGTCAGCCATTATGCTAACCAAGATGCTTTCGTCACAGTATCTTTTTTTTTCATTTTTTAAAATTTATTTATTAAATTTTATTTTACATATCAGCCACAGATTCCCTTGTTCTCCCCCCCTCCCACCCACCCCTCGCCTTCCCCCAGCCCACCCCCCATTCCCATCTCCTCCAGGGCAAAGACTCCCCCTGAGGATTGAGTTCAACCTGGTAGATTCAGTCGAGGCGGGTTCAGTCCCCTCCTCCCAGGCTGAGCCAAATGTCCCTGTATAAGCCCCAGGTTCCAAACTGCCAGTTCATGCACTGAGGACAGGACCTGGTCCCACTGTCTGGATGCCTCCCAAGCAGGTCAAGCTAATCAACTGTCTTATTTATCCAGAGGGCCTGATCCAGTTAGGGGCTCCTCAGCTATTGGTTCATAGTTCATGTGTTTCCTTTCGTTTGGCTATTTGTCCCTGTGCTTTTTCCAACCTTGGTCTTAACAATTCTCGCTCATACAAACCCCCCTCTTTCTCACCAATTGGACTCCTGGAGCTCCACCTGGGGCCTGACCTTGGATCTCTGCATCCGGTTCGCTCAGTCATTGGATAGGGTTTCTAGCATGACAATTAGGATGTTTGGCCAGGTGGCCTTCGAATACTTCAGAGATCTATTCAGAGTCCAATTAGCGAGAAAGAGAAGGGTTTATATGAGCGAGAATTGTTGAAACCAAGGCTGGATAAAGCACAAGGACAAATAGCCAAACGAATGGAAACACATGAACTATGAACCAAAGGCTGAGGGGCCCCCAACTGGATCAGGTCATCACAGTATCTTAAACTAGGAGCAGTTTTGATTTTAGTAAAACTGGAAAACATGCATTTTTTTCCATTAGAAATTTTATACACATAACAAAACTGACACTAGAAACATAAAAACCACTCTGCTTAAAAGCCAACACTGACCTTCTGTTCCAAGAGCAATGTGTTTGTAGGGATTGCTGCAAAAGCCTTGTAGCTTGACTTGGTCTTGTATTGCTAGAATGGGTAACCAGAAAGTAAGAATGGAGATGAAAAGGGAGAAGAATATGACATCATTGTAGGCAGCTCTATCAAGTTAAACGACACATTATCAGGTGAAGAAGGGGTTATTTTCCACAACTTGTTATTGAAAAGAAATAAGTCCATCATGTTAATATTTTGTTAGATTGATAAGTCAAGAAATATGTAATAACATGTTAGCCTACAGATCCTGAACAATTATTATTACTTAGTTTTATAACAAAGTATCCATTCCTACAAATTTGTATATAAATTTCTCAGTAACTGCATTATATCAGAGAAGTATAATTCTATAAATGATTTAAGAGCCCCATTAGATTCTCAGGCAAATATATAGCCATTATTGGTAAATATGCCAATAAATTTAATTCAGCCCATAATACATATTTGCTTCATTCATAAAAACAAAGATTATACTACACAAAATTTAGCAGCAGTTTCAGGTTGGTTTAGGTTGGACTTTTTTAGGCAAGATCTCTCTACATAGCCTAAGATAGGCTTGACCTCCATATGTAGCCCAGGCTGGCCTGAAATTCATGATCATCCTGCTTCCTCCTCCCAAGTGGTAGAATTGTTGGATAGGCCTCTACACCTGGCTAACAGCAGTTTTAACATAGCAATTTGGCCAATGACTAAGTAATATCATAATTTAACACCAGAGTTGAAATGGGGTCCAATCTCATGGTCCTAATCTCATTTTTCATATTATCAGTACTTCTGCTTTCTACTGGAGAGTTGTTAACAAAGGAAATTAAAAACATCCTGAGTTTTAAGTCAAACAGAGCTATGTGAGTTGTTTGGAAGAGTTGAAGATTAATGAAGATGTAGAAATTGGCATAACATAAAATCCATTATTAAAAGCCCTGGTTTGCTGTTATTCTGGGTCTTGAGTTGATTAGCTAATTTCAAGACTCATATTATACCAAATTCCCTGCCTGAGGCAGCTTCCCCGGTGGCTCACAGTCCAAGCCTTAGCTCCTTGAAAAGCAAACCAAAGTGTTAACCAATGAAAACTGGGGTTGTCAAAAAATCTAAGGGGAAATAGAGTGTATAATTGCAGAGAGGTGAAAGACTGGGAGTAAATGGGAGGGGGAGATGGAGGAAAGGGGTAAGTGAGGGAATATGGAAAGGGCAATTAGCACCAAAGGGCATTTGGGGGACCATATGTAAACTTACTATGGGAGAGGCTTCCTCATATATCTATATGAGAAAAAAGTCCAAATGGAATGAGCAATTGATGGGGAGACATGCCCCAACTAGATATCTTTACCACCAAGTTAAACCTCCAGTACCAAGAATGAGTTACATGTGGTTGAGTCATTAGCCAAAGGGACCCTATGGGAAGCACCAGACATCTCAGGCTAATGCCAGGGCTGTTGGTTGCTGTCCTCAAACTGATGGTTTATGACATCCTCTTGCTGATGACAACACTTACATAGCTCTTGAATGCAGAAAATTTGACCTGTTGCCTAACTATAGGCTTCACCCCTACTGACTAGTGATCACAGTACTGGAAAGTATTCTGCACACTACCAAGGGAGAAAAGTGACCATCAACCCAGCTATAAACACTGTGAACTATAATAGTGACCTGCCTGCAAGATATACTGCTACAATAGTGGCACAAACATTGTGGGAGTAACTAATCACTGTTTGATTGAATTTAAGGCCATTTCCAGGAAATGGAGCCCATGCCTGCCACTTCTCAGGTGGCCACAAACTTTAGACTGGTTGGCCATGGTCCTAGAGGAAAACCAATACTACTGTTCTATTAAAAAGAAATCTGGTAAATGGAGAGGCCATCCTTTTGGTAACACTGTTCTGCTAAAGAAACATAGCAATAAAATGATGCCTGGTGACATTCTGCTTAGTGGTTCACTCAGCCATCCTCAGAGATGCTGCCTATTGCAATAGATGGGAACCAATACAGAGATCCAGAACTGGACAACATGTAGAGAATGAGAGATTTTTAAATACTCATCCCTAAGTAGGAATGTCTTCATCAAACCCTACCTCTCAAGGCTCAGGAAACTATACAGAAGAGAAAGTGCAAAGATTCTAAGAGCTAGATAGGATGGGTGACTCCAAGGGAACAGCATACTCCAGACACAACAGAACTGCCACACATATGAACTCAAAGAGCCTGTGGAAGCATGTGCAGGGCCTCCGCAGGGCTAGACAGGATTACAGGGCTGGGAGGGAAAAGTCAACACAGGCTCTCAACTCTAACCAATAAGCTATCTGCAATTGAGACCTGCTTATAAGAGTGTTTTATCCAGTGGAATCTCACAGGGTTTATTAAACAAACTTTAGAGTAGGACTCATGCCTGTAAGTAGATGACCAACACAAAACAAGCTCAATGGTATTTTTATAGACACTTTGTCTCAAATTTCTTTGTTTAGGCATTTTTTGTCTTATCTATCCTTTGCTTGTACAGTGTGTTTTCCAATTTTGTGATTTTGTGGGTTTTGTTTCTTGTGGGGTTTTTTGTTTGGTTTGTTTGTTGGTGAGTTGAGTTTTTTGTTTGTTTGTTTGTCTATTTGTTTTTTAAGGAAATAGAGAAAAAGTGTCAAGTTGAGTAGGTCGGGAGGTGGAGAGGATCTAGGAAGAGTTGCAAGAGGGGAAAAGTGTGATTAGGACATACTGGATGAAAATTCTTATGGATATAATTAAAATAAACTTGGTTAAACTTGTGTGATGAGGCTGAATCTAGCACATTCACTTTCCTAAGAAGGACCTGGGGAGAATGAGTGCTCTGGTGACATAGAGGAAGAACAGCAGCGCACAGCTGAAAGCCAAAAACAGGCTCTCCTTGTTCTGTTGTTTTCTTTCTTATCTTCCTGCTTATTATATTAGATATAGTGAAATTAGCAATGCAAGGCCAGGATGTCAGGAAGCCACTGTAGCCTGTCTATCACAACTCTCACTTACACATACTCATACACAAATAAATGCACTTATTTAAATGCACATACAAATTCATGTTTATTCATGCATATAGCCATACTCTCATACAAACATAAACAAACTCAACAACACAGAGAGAAAGACCTCTGGATCTGAACACTTCTCTCATCTGGGAATAGGCTGCTTATTTACCTGCTACTTTCTCTTCTCCAAATGCCTCTTTGCTATAAGAAGCAGCAGCTTTTCAATCTTCTGTAAGCCTCCCAGCTCTTCTGCATCCTGCACTCTCATCTTCATGAGAGACAATTCCTGGAGGATACCTGAGTTCATTTACAGTCCTAGCATCTACATTGATCATGCAATGCTGTCACCTCTAGACAACAATGTGCCCGAGTAAGGATTGATAATGAAATGTAATTTCTTTATGAATATTTATATACATTTACAGAACCCTGCAGCTGAAGACTCATCAGGAAAATCTGTAGTCAAATGATATATCCTAGACTTGATGAGTATTATTTCTATCCAATTTTATCTTAGAGAATTGTGTTCTCATTTTAAACTGTGAAGATAAGAATTTTATATTATTTCATGAGCCGTTTTTGTTAGATATGATATCTTTATCATTATCTAAGACATACATCAAAGATGGAAAGCTCTTACGACTGGGTTCTCTCAGTGTGGTAGACACTAGATTCTGTCAATCTTACTGGATGTAGAATTCAACTGATGAATTCATTCAACAATTACCTATTGAGTAGCTACTTCATGGCATACAGTCCTCCTCTAAGGTATGTGCCTTTCCCAGATTTTCAGTCTGAGAAATCATGCTTGTGGTGGTTTAAAATAAAATGGCCCCCAAAGAAACTGTCATTATTAGGAGGTATGGCCTTGTTGGAGTAGGTATGGTCTTATTGGAGGAAGTGTGTCACTGTGGAGGTGGGCTTTGAGGTCCCATATATGCTCAAGCCACACCTAGTGACACTAACCACTTCCTCTTGCCTTTGGGTCAAGATATAAGAACTCTCAGCTCCTTCTCCAACACCATGTCTGCCTGCATGCTACCTTGTTTTCCAGCATGACAATAATAAACTAAATCTCTGAACTACAAGTAAGCCACCCCAATTAAATGTTTTCATTTATAAGAGTTGCCATGGTCATGGTGTCACTTCACAATAGAAACTCTACCTAATACAATGCTTATTGCCATAAAAGATGCTTTTTGAATTCAGCATCTTTCCTCTGCGTTTCCTGGATAGTGTCGGATTTCAACATGGAGTTCTTTGTTCTAATTGGAACATATATCTTCCCAGCATTCCAAGGCTTCCAGGTGCTATGCAAAACTCCTTGGTTTCCTTCTTTGGTATAAATCTGAACTTTTCTAGAGAAGATCATTTGAGATAAATTATATTACAAGAATCCCATCAGTAGGGCCAGAGACATGGTTAGGCGGATAAAGTGACTGCATGCCTCCCAGAATCTGAGTTTGATCCCCAGAACCCACATACAGGTTGAAGGGGAGAACTAACTCCACAAAGCTGTACTCCAGCCTCTGCCCACTTTCACCCCAACAAACACACGTCATATACCCACTCACACACAAAGCACAAGAGCATACCTACACAATTATGACAAATACTAGGGAAACTAATCACCTTCAGCTGTGGTGGTATTGTGTTCCCCAAAATATTGTACCCTAATAAACTTATCTGGGGTCAGAGAACAGAACAGCCACTAGATACAAAGGTTAGAAAATGGTGGCACTCACGCCTTTAATCCTAGCATTCCAGAGGTAGAAATCCCTCTGGATCTCTGTGAGTTCAAGGTCACATTGGAACCGGCCAGGCATGGTGACACACGCCTTTAATCCCAGAAAGCGAGCCTTTAATCCCAGGGAGTGATGGTAGAAAGCAGAAAGGTATATAAGGCATAAGGACCAGAAACTAGAAGCATTTGTCTGGTTAAGCTTTTAGGTTTTGAGCAGCACAGTTCAGCTGAGAGCCATTCGGATATGAGAACACAGAGGCTTCCAGTCTGAGGAAACAAGATCAGCTGAGAAGTTGGCCAGG